ACTAGCATGCAATGGACTTCACCTGTCAACCTCAGGGAAGAATGTGTTTGGCAGAAATCTGGAGATTCATCAAGAGGGCTTTAAACTGACACCACAAGGGGAAGGAGACAATCAACATAGGGGTTTAAATGAAGGAGAGCAAATAACAGAGACCCACCTGGGAGGTTCAGGTCTAATGGAGCCAAAGGTGCGGGGCTTCAGGTGTCTATGTACCAATTCTCAAAGCTTGGGTAATACGAAGGAAGAGCCTGAGCTTCTAATGCAGACAGAGGGATATTATTTAGTAGGCATTACGGAGACTTCGTAGAATTATTCCCATGACTGGAATGTAGTAGTGGATAGATAAAGAGTTGTTCAAGAAAAACCAAAAGGATCAAAGAGGAGGTGGAATGGCGTTGTATGGGAAGACAGGGTATATCAGGAAATACTGGAGGAGGAAAGTGACAGCACAGTAGAAAGTATCTGGGTGAGGATAAGGGAAGGAATGGTATTGTGGTTGGAGTTTACTACAGACTTCCTGACCAGAATGAGAAGGTGGATGTTGCCCTCCTTGAACAGCTTGACAGGGTATCCAGACAACATGACCTGGTAGTTATCGGTGACTTCAACTTCCCTGATGTGTGTTGGGAGACAATCTCTGCAAAGTGTCCACAGCCAAGCAACTTCCTGACCTGTCTGGATGACAACTTCCTTCATCAAATGGTAGAGGAAGCTATGAGGAGCTCGGCCATATTTGACGTAATATTGACCAACAGGTAAGAGATGGTAGATGGGGTGAAGGTGGTGGGGACCTTAGGGGAAAGTGACCATGTCCAGCTAGAATTCCTTTTGCTGTGGGGGACCAAAAAAGTTTGTAACCACACGTGTAAGTTAGATTTCAGTAAGGTAGACTTTAATAAACTCAGAGGTATGATGAGAATCATTCCATAGGCAAGACTGCTGGAAGGGAAAGGAGCAAGTGAAGGGGGGCCTCTCCTAAAACAAGAGCTCTTACAAGCTCAAGCTGTCGCTATTCCAACAAGAAGGAACCATGGTAGGAGATCCAAGAAGCCAATGTGGATGAACAGAGAACTGTGTGATGTGCTAAGGGAGAAAAAGGAAGTGTTCAAGAAACGGAGGAAAGGCCATACCTCTAAAGAAGAGTATCTGTGGGTTGCTAGGCACTGTAGGTCAGCCATCAGAGAGGCCAAAGCTCACAGTGAGCTAAAGCTGGTCAGGGAGGCTTGCTACAAGAAGAAAATCTTCAGATATGGGAGAAGCAAATGCACGATAAAAGAGGTGATGGGCCCACTGTTGGGTGAAAATGGAGAAACTCGGACAGAGAGAAAGCAGAAAGGCTTAATGCCTATTTTGCCTCAGTTTTTTTTCCTTAAGAAGAGTACAGGCTCATCTAGAGATGGTAATAGGCAAGTCACAGCATCTGGGCTGCTAGTTGATATGGACAGAGAGGTAGTTGAGAAGCACATGGTTGCACTGAATAAGTACAAATCCCTGGGGCCAGATGGTTGGCACCCACGAGTGCTCAAAGAACTTTCTAGACAGCTTGCAGAGCCTTT